TGAACACGGGAAGGAGAGGTTGCAGTGAGCCAAGATCATGCCACTGTACTCCAGCCTGGGCAACACAGCGAGACTCTGTCTCAAAAAAAAAAGAAAAGTGAAAGTACATTGTTATCTTGCACAGCAAGAAATACAGAGGTGTGTTATTATAGGTGTTGGATTTCCTTATTAGTCCTGCTTTACAAAATTGAGGTTAAGTAACTTGCCCAGGGTCACACAGCTGGTCAGTGTGGATTTGAACCCAGGGGTCAAATTCCAGACTCTTTGATGCTAACCTCTCTACATTACTGCCTTTTGTCTGAGCTCACCTAGTTTGGATGGGCTGATGCTCTTTCTTTAGATGTGGGCTTGATATTCAGGTATGGGCAATGATACATGAGGAATGATATATTTCATTCCTCTGGCCGTAAGGACTGGTTCATTGTTGGACATGTGACTCCAGTTAGGTCAATGAGTTTCCACCCCAAGACTTTTCTGGAACTATATGTAAAGTGAATCTATATCAAATGACATTGCCAAACGAACAGTTTGTACACATGGAGCTGTTTTCAACCATCACTGTACCACAGAAAGAGCCAGTCCACAAAAATATAATAAAAAGAGACAAATGGCTCATGCTGACGTATGTGACCCTGCATCCAGCCTAGACCAATCGCTACTGACTTTTCAGTTATGAGAGACAACACATTCCTTCTTTTTGCTCAAGCCAGTTTGAGTGGCATTTCTGTCACGGAAAGACTTCTTAGGGGCTGAACTGTGTCTCCTTAATTCATATGTTGAAGTCTTAACAGTACCTACTACAATAGCTCAAAATGTGACTGTATCTCCATAGGATCCTTAAAGAGATAAAGTTAAAACGAGTTCATCAGGGTAGGCCCTAATCCACTATAACTGGTGTCCTTATAAAAGGAAATTAGGACACCAACGCACACAGACTGGGAGTTGGCCATATGAGGATGAAGCAATCAGGTGGCCATCTGTAAGAAAAGGAGTGAGGCCCTGGGAGAAACCCACCCTGCCATCACCTTGATCTTGGACTTCCAGCCTCCAGAACTGTGAGGAAATCAATCTCTTTTGTTTCAGTCACCCAGTCTATGGTACTTTGTTATGACAGCCTGAAAAAACTAATACAAGGCTCTGAACACTTTCTAAATTGGTATCTGGAGGTGAGAGAATACATGTTGCAGATTGTGAAATAGAGAATCAGCTCACTCAAGGTGGGGAGGGGCAGTGAGGACCTCTCGATTTTGAGCAGGAAGCTGGCAATTTCTGTTGTGCAGTAGCAGCAAGGCAGTGGTTAAACTGTATCCTATTTTATCTTGGTGCTCTGACCATGGGGCTACTGAGGTTGAAAGTTAAAGAGAGATGATAGAAAAGCATCAGGCTGGTGGAAGAAGATGAATTTCTTTTGTAGCCTTCAGTTAGGTCCTACCAGAAAGACAAGTTTTGTTAGAAATGAGCCATCTGAAAGCAGCAAGGGAAGAAAAGACAGTTTTGCTATGGGAGGCCCTTTCTTCCTATAGCTATCAACTTAGAAAGTTAGATGTCTCTGTCTGGGCGTGGTGGCCCAAACCTGTAATCCCAGCACTTTGGGAGGCTGAGGCTGGGGGGATTACCTGAGGCCAGGTCAACCTGACCAACATGGTGAAACCCCGTCTCTACTAAAAATACAAAAATTAGCCAGGTGTCGTGGCATGCGCCTGTAGTCCCAGCTACTTCGGAGGCTGAGGCAGGAGAATCGCTTGAATCTGGGAGGTGGAGGTTGCAGTGAGCCAAGATGGTGCCACTGCACTCCAACCTGGGCAACAGAGTGAAACTCCATCTCAAAAAAGTTAAATAAATAAAAGAAAAGAAAGTTAGATAGATGTCTCTGAGCTTCGCTGAATTGAAAAGTGAGATTCTCTGTCATCAATTAATATTACTTCTCACAAAGCCTAGGGTGTGGAAAACATATCAGAAGATAAGAGGAATCAGAGAGAAGCTTCATTCCTGTTCTTCTAGGCTTCTTCCAAACATCTTTCAGATATATAGCAGCCTGAGAAAGGTGGCAATGGTCTCCACTGTAAAGAGTCATCCATCGGACATAACCAAGGGGCAACGGCCAAGTTATCTGTGCTTTGAGGGTGCTGGTTCTGTCCTGGGGCAGCCAGCATGGACAATATTAGGTTGAGGAGTAGGTGGGATGGCAGAGCATTAGGGCCTATGCTGAGACAAAAATCCCACAATAAAGGGTCTGGAATCTAGGACTGTGACCAAACATATTTGACTTGGGCCATTGGTCAATAGAGTTGCCTGATTTTTTTTTTTCTTTTTTTTTTTTTGAGATGGAGTTTCACTCTTGTTGCAATGGAGTGCAATGGCGTGATCTCAGCTCACTGCAACCTCCACCTCCTGGGTTCAAGCGAATCTCTTGCTTCAGCCTCCCAAGTTGCTGGGATTACAGGTGTGCACCATCACACCTGTCTACTTTTGGTTTCACCATGTTGGCCAGGCTGGTCTCGAACACCTGACCTCAGATGATCCCCCACCCCAGCCTCCTAAAGTGCTGGGATTATAGGGGTGAGCCACCGTGTCCCCCTGCCCACCCCCGATTTGCATGATTTCAAACTGTGTAGTTATATTGCCCAAGAAACTGCAAGCTTGGACAAAAAAAAAGGTGGCAATGGCTCAACTTCCAAAGCAATTTTCCAGCTCCTCTCATCTGCACCAATGGCAGTGGGATGTGTGGCTTGCGAGGGGAAAACTTCCTAATACCTTTCTAGGTCCTGGTGGTTTGGGTGGTAGGTGGGATGGGAGGCTTACCTCCTTCTGTCCCCTTTACCTGACAAGTGCAGGATGAGGCAAGTGACTCAGGTTTGATTAGCATCATTTCCCATCCCCCTGATCCCAGTGATCGGTTCAGACCAAGTAACTGCATTACGACTCGATCCTAGGGTTGTTTTGCAGGAACTGTTGGGAAAGTGAAGCACTTCCTCCTTCAGTTGCTAAATTAGTAGAATAAGCTTCGGGTAGGATGTCACTCTATAGAAAGAGCTGACTGAAAATGAATTAAAACTGAGGAACGTATAGCTGGGAAATATATACGTGGAGAGAGGTGTTAAGTACTTGTGATGGTGGTTGACCTCTAGGATCCAGCAACGCCTGAATTGATTGCTACTTCTGGATTTCTCAACTTTTTCATTACAAGAGCTAATACATTTCTCCCCCCGCTTCACTTTTTATTGTTATTTTCTCACAACCACACTTCCCGTCTTTCTTTCCTCTTTTTCAAAGGAATTCACTTGCCTCATCCGGCACTTGTTGGGTGCTGGGGCAGAAGGAGGTAAGTACTCCCCAAAACCACCAGGATCCAGAAGGGTATTAGGAAATGTTCCCCTCTGAGGCCACATGGCCCACTCCTACTGGTGCAAATGAGAGAAGCTGGAAAATTGCTTTAAATGTTGTCCAGATGCCACCTTTTTTTCTCCTTTCTTGATTTCTTACCTCCTTCTCTTCTCCTCTTCCTCCTTCCTGCTCCTTTCCTTACCCCCTAGATTTGCTTGCGTCAGTTGGAATGGTACTTTTGGCTCTCATAACCAAGAACCATGAGTAATACAGGAGTCATCAATACTCTTTAGCAGTTGGAGACCTAACCAGATAGATGCCCGGGCACTGGGGACACAAAGTGGAATAAAGTTGAATGAGAAGTGGGCTGTGTCTTGGAGAAGCCCTCAGCATTGTGAATCGTGGACATTGTACAGTGTGGCACGTGCCACACTCACAGTGTATATAGAGTGTGATGTGGAGAAAGGGTCTTCATTTGGACTGAGGAGTTAGTGAAGGCTTCCAGAAGCTGAGTAGGAACTAGAAGGAAGGACGTTTCGGGCAGAAATAACCGAATAAAGACAAAGGAGTGTCAGATGGCACATTATCCTTCATTCTGGAGACTCCAAGTAGTTTGATATGGCTGGGACAGAAGGTGCCTTTAGAAATGTGAAGGCAGATGGTGCCTAGGGTAGGAAGACATCAGACCATGGGGGACTTTTGTCCTTCAGGTATAAAATCATTTAAAGATTTAAGTGGGGGAAAACATGGTCACATTTGTTACTAAGATGATCACTTTGGCTGCAGTGTGGAGGATGGATTGAGAAAAAGCAATTATTATCTTACCATAGGATCATGAGAATCTTTCTTCAATAAATGCGAGAAAGGGCACTCTGTTTTTCATGATATTCTGATTGCCAGCATCTTGACCGAAGGGCTATGGCAAAACCGAGAAAACACTATCAACATTAGGCAAAAAAGCAAAACAAAACAAAAGAAAACAAAGATCTCTTTAGCCCCAACAGTGCTAATTTTTGCATACCCAGCAATTACTTTTCTAATGAAAGTCATTGCTGCCAAAATCAATCAGTATAAATGTTGGAGACTCCTTTCTCCTTCCATGAAAAGCTTTTACTATTTCGTTTCACTAAAGCTTAAAGAGAACTCGTTGTTTATGGTTCATTCTAGAGCGATCCACCACAGGTATGCTTTAGGATGATGGTCAGGGAAACTGTCATTTAATCTCAAGGAAGCTGTCATTTGATTCCATTCAAAACTAGGCAATACACATCAGCAGGCAATATAGTCTGATGCTGTGGCCTACTTTGTTGGCTGAAGCCTTCCACTGTCCTGGGAGGGAAGTTATTTTTGTTACCTTTCATCTCTTATACACATACATGGAATATACACGTTGGTCACTCCAGAAAACACATGGATAGTCCTAGAGCAAAATGGGTTTCAAGGTTATTTAATTTATGCCTCTTAAAACCTTACTTTCCTCCCAGTAAAATTTCATGCAGTATACAGAACTTTTATTTAAAAAAAATTATTCATCTTCTCCTCTTTATCACCTACTTTTTCTTTCTTTTCTTTTTTCTTTTTTGGATGGAGACAGGGGTCTTGCTATGTTGCCCAGGCTGGTCTCAAACTCCTATCCTCGATTGTTCCTCCCGTTTTGGCCTCCCAAAGTGCTGGGATTACAGGTGTGAACCACTATTTACAAAGTTTCACACTCCCTTAGGGAATCCACTGGGAACACTTCTTCATAGTGTCCGTGGAAAAGGTTATGTGATTTAAGAAACACTTGTAGTGTCTATATCATTTAATATCTAGGAATTTGTTGATTTTTTAGGATCTTTGGATGAATGGGTTTTTAATTTTATCCAGCTTATTTAGAAGAAATTGCCATTCTTGCTTTAAAAGGTTTTCTTCTCGGATCCCAGCGGCGCCGAGCGTCACGCTGCGCTCCCGCCCGGGGGTCAGTCACGGTCTGCGCCTGCGCAGGCCCCGGTTTGCCCGCCATCCTATCCTGCGGGACGCTGGCGGCGATGAGTTAGGGAAATGGACGCCTGGAGAACGGAAATCCAGTTATCAAAATGGACTCGAGAAGAGAGAACCTAACGGAACAATAACAATGGAAGAAATTGGGAACATTATCACAAAGCTATCATCCTGCCAAACTCCAGGCTCGGATGATGTCACAAGTTAAAAAAAGTCCTTCATGAAAAAGATCTTAAGCAACATGATGGATTCAGAAGCTCATGAAAAGAGGCCACCAGTACTTACATCTTCAAAACAAGATATATCACCTCATATTACAAATGATGGTGAAATGAAGCATTACTTGTGTGGCTGCTGCGCAGCCTTCAACAACGTCGCAATCACATATCCCATTCAGAAGGTCCTCTTTCGACAACAGCTGTATGGCATCCAAACCCGGGATGCAATACTTCAGTTGAGAAGGGATGGATTTCGAAATTTGTATCGTGGAATCCTTCCCCCATTGATGCAGAAGACAACTACACTTTCACTTATGTTTGGTCTGTATGAGGATTTATCCTGCCTTCTCCACAAGCATGTCAGTGCTCCAGAGTTTGCAACCCGTGGTGTGGCGGCAGTGCTTGCGGGGACAACAGAAGCAATTTTCACTCCACTGGAAAGAGTTCAGACATTGCTTCAAGACCACAAGCATCATGACAAATTTACCAACACTTATCAGGCTTTCAAGGCCCTGAAATGTTATGGAATTGGAGAGTATTATCGAGGCTTGGCGCCCATTCTTTTCCGGAATGGACTCAGCAATGTGTTGTTTTTCGGCCTTCGAGGTCCCATTAAGGAGCATCTGCCTACGGCAACGACTCCCAGTGCTCATTTTGTCAATGATTTTATCAGTGGAGGTCTATTGGGTGCCATGTTGGGATTCTTGATTTTTCCAATTAATGTTGTAAAAACTCGCATACAGTCTCAGATTGGTGGGGAATTTCAGTCTTTCCCCAAGGTTTTCCAAAAAATCTGGCTGGAACGGGACAGAAAACTGATAAATCTTTTCAGAGGTGCTCATCTGAATTACCATCGGTCCATTATCTCTTGGGGCATAATCAATGCAACTTACGAGTTCTTGTTAAAGGTTATATGAAAAAACCCATCAGTTAAGTGCCATTTATCAACTGAATAGACCTTCTAAGAAGAATGCGGTTTGGCCTCTTTCTTAATTGGCCAAACACAAGTTGGTGTCATAACTCCAGGCCACAGTGAGTTATGGGCAAAGCTGTTTTCCTTAAGCATCAACAAAACAGAATAAAATGTTCCAATAGGAAAATATAAGGGTTTTATTTGTTTGTTTTGGTTTTTGTCATTACCTAACAGCTTTAGGCTAATTGCCTGGTAAATAGCTGTCCATCTGATGGCCTTTGACAGGGAACCTAATCCCCAAGATAGGATTCTTTTTCTCAAACCAGTCTTGAACTCCTGCGTTGAGACATAAGTGACTGTGACCGGCCGGAAAGACGGTCCTCAGGGGCCAGGGGCTCCTCAGGCTTCCTTTGTGACTCCATTGCTTGCTTCTCTGCCCTCAGGAGCAGCTGCAGAGGATAGTTTTCATTAAGCTCAAGCATATGACAAAGGGGCAGAACAGAGAAGAAAAACAGCTTAATAGGTATAGGCTTTTCCTGATAAATTGCCTGTATTAGTTTTGAAACTAAGCACCTATCAGATAGTCATTATACTATTTCTATTTAGATATGGTAGATCAAGGAGCTCTGAAAGTTCCCATTTTGTTTTCTAGGTTTGAAAGTTTTCTGTTTGATTCTGACTGTGACCTTCAACCCTTACAAAATATTCTTGTGTTAATTCCACTTATTTCATTGCCGAAAGATGAAGGGACTTAAATGTTGTTATAGGTGTTCCATGCTGTTAGGAAGTTTGCATATTGTGTATAGATCAAATTCTGTTTAGCTTAGTTTCTTTGAATTATTGATGCCATCTCAGCAAAGGTCTGTGGTTATTTTTCCTGTGCAGTAGGAGTTGGTCATATTCAAGCATCCTGTTCTCTTAAAACTCTCCTTTTAAAAAAATAAACACTTTCATAACATTTTGTTTTGGAGGTCTACTAATGCAATCCCACTTTTTCCCCCTAGTTTCTAAATGTTACAGAGTGGAGGGGAAAAGACTCAGGATGGTTTTCAGCCCACAGTGTTCGCTGTCTTTTATTTTACTCCTGGAAATAGAGACTCCATTAGGGTTTTGACATTTTTGGGAACCCAGTTTTACCACTGTGTCAGTAAAACAGTAAGATAGTTTGAGAGCGTATGATCTAAATAAAGACATTCGAAGGGTTAGTTTGAATTCTAAAAGTAGGTAATAGCCAAATAGCATCCTTATCCCTTAACAGACGAAAACTTCTTTGTCAAAGGAATTACAAAATGTGAAAATATTTTTTCCAGACGAAACTCATGCCACTTCCAGTTGACTAATGAAATATAAGAGACAGATTGAAAAAGTGGATTATGAATCTTAAAACCCTTTCTGTAAATATTATGTAGCTAAAGATTATTTCCAGCATCTGACATGACAGTAGGTTTCTTGTTAACCAGTTTTTCTTCTTTCTGGGTAATTGCATGTGAATATGTGCACATACTGACCAAAATAAAGGCCTCAACTTCGTAGTTTACTGAAAGTTCCTGGGCAAATAGTCCATAAAAGCTGTTTACCTCTGAATGCACTGTGGCTGGTTAAATACAGTGAACATCCTTTTTCCAGCTGTAAAGGATGAAGCATATTAAGCATTAGCCAGACATTAATAAAGCTAAATAGCCATACAGCAGCAGCTCTGTCTGACAATGTTGTGCTGGATATTACAGTTTATTTTCAAGGTGCAGATGTAAGGGTTTTAAAAAGTAATAATTTGTCACCAAATAAATATGAGTAGCATCCTTTGGCCTATTAAATAGAGTCAGGATTTGAAGGGAATTGAGTTTGAGAAATGAATAAATAAAGGCACCTTGGTGCCTGACACCCTCATTCATGTGTGTGACTTTGAGCACTCACAGGCACTTCCAGCTACTCAGCCCAGGGCAGGTGGGTTAGCCTGGGGTTATACCTTGGCCCTGGAAATAGACACCATTGGGCCTTTGGTTTTGTTCGGCTTCCTTTTGTCTTTACACTCCATACAGGTGGTAGAAATCTTGAGTTCTAAAGCACTTTTGTGAAATATAAGCTAAGTGAGAATTCTAAGTAAAATACTTTGGTTTCTGCTGTCTCAAATAAGTGGCGTTTAAAACAATTATTAATAAATATTTTTAATGGTTTTAACTCAGCATTTTAAAAAAAAATTCTTTGTCACTCTTTACAGCTTTTGAAGACCAAACTGCAAATACATTACCAGGGATGATTTTATGTTGTCCTATAGACTTCTTAAATTTGACAAAAAATTAGCAGAACTTGTAACCAACAGCTTTGTCTGAACTTGAAGTCAAAATGTGTTGTTAATAAGAGATGCTAACTATTGCTTTTACCTTCAGTGTGAACTAGTGTGGTAATAACTTTGAAAAGGCGGGCTGGGCACGGTGGCTCATGCCTGTAATCCCAGCACTTTGGGAGGCCGAGGCGGGCAGATCACTTGAGGTCAGGAGTTTGAGACCAGCCTGGTCAACATGGCGAAACCCCATCTCTACTAAAAATACAAAATATTAGCCAGGTATGGTGGTACCCACCTGTGATCCCAGCTACTCGGGAGGCTGAGGCAGGAGAATCACTTGAACCTGGGGGGCGGAGGTTGTAGTGAGCCGAGATCGCACCACTGCACTCCAGCCTGGGCAACAGAGCAAGACTCCATCTCAAAAAAAAAAAAAAAAAATTGAAAAGGCAAACATGATTGAATATCTGAAAAGCTTTAAAAGTGGCCTTTCTGTTACGTATGTGGCACAAATGGCTCATGAGTGCAGGACGCTTATGGTCTTGTGTCCTATACTTCGTGTGTGATGCCACCAGAAATGTTATGGATTCTGTATTGAACACACTGAGAGTGGTATGAGCCCTCAGGACTGCACCACAGACTAAACACAACCTTGATCTGGTGGCAAATATGTGTGTCTTTCTTGTTTCATTAGTGGTTGGGGAGAAAATAGATGTTTTTGTCTAAATAGTCGATATTCATCTTAACGTGGTTGGCTGTATAATCACCAGCTATATTGTGAACTGTGCAATAAAACAGAATCGTTTGTATGAATAATTACCTTTGCATACCTGAAATTCCCAAGCTCAGTTACAATGCAATACTCAGTATAAGGCTGTGCAAACATGTAAGGGAATAATGGTGGTTGATGGGATATATGAAATGGGATCTAGAGAGCTTCGAGTGAAGCCAATCATGTTGAACTAACACTGGTTCAGTGTAGATGAAATAGAGTGAGGGGTATGCAGTCATAAAATGAAGGGTGGACAGGAGATTACATTTGAAGAAAGGGTAAGCACTCAGACTCGGTTTCTTTTAAATTAAAATATTTCTTTTCTCATGTGCAAATATGTATCAAAGACTTGAACAGGCATTCTCTTGAAGTTTGAAGATTTTTAGTTTTTAATGCTGTATTTGCTTAATATTAAATATGTGTTGCCTAATGGCTCCCAAATTGTGTGGGAGCCTCTAAGTGTTTCCTCTCAAAGGTTCGTTATTGAAAGTGGTTAAGCGCACAATGCTATTTTTGTTTGATAGTTTGAGTTTTATGACCATATGAGTTTAAATGAAATCTGTTAAATGTTTCAGAGTGAATACTTTTTTTTTTTTTTATAATTTGGAATAAAGTTTGTTTTTAAAGCCCCTCTCCCCCAAAACTAACTAACTAACTAACTAACTAATTAACTAACTAAATAAAAGGGTTTCTTCTCACACATCAGGCAGTTGTGGGATGGGAGTTTATTCAGACTACTTTTACGTTTTGGTTGATGCGTAGGACTGTGGGTTCACACGAGCCTTAGTTAACCTTCTGTCAGTATAGTGGTGTCTGACATTCTGCATTAAGGAAATTTTTTTCTCCCATCAGAATCTGTAGCTAATGGTGGTAAACGTCATGCATGTATTTCTATAATAACACACCAGATTTGTGGTCTATAATAACCAGCAGTGTAGACCACAAATAATGAAGAATATAAGCTTTAGAATGAGATATACCTGGTCAGGCATGGTGGCTCACGCCTGTAATCCCAGCACATTGGGAGGCTGAGGCGGACGGATCACGAAGTCAGGAGTTCGAGATCAGCCTGGCCAACATGGTGAAACCCCGTCTCTACTTAAAATACAAAAATTAGCTGGGTATGGTGGTGTGTGCCTGTAATCCCAGCTACTCGGGAGGCTGAGACATGGGAATTGCTTGAACCCAGGAGGTGGAGGTTGCAGTGGGCCGAGATCACACCACTGCACTCCAGCCTGGTGACAGAGTGAGACTCCATCTCAAAAAAATAAAAAGTAAATAAAAAGAATGAGATATACCTGTGTTTAAACTCTAACTCTGTTACTGACAAGTTATATGTCATTAGGCAAGTGACTCTGGGTTTTTCTTTCATCTGAAAAATAATATATTTACTGCAAATGGTTGCTTTTAATTATCAGTAAAATAAAATGCCAAGTAAGCCACTTACTATGGCATCTACAAATAGACTTTGAAGACACAAAACTATTATCATTATTCTCTTTTCCTTTTTCTTTCCCCTTTCGTCTTTCTCCCAATATCTTTTTGCTGTGGAAATAGCTTCCACTTGACATTTACAATGTTGATTCTATTTTAATCTTTGGCTACTCTTTCCTTTCAAACATATAATTCTTCCTTTCTGATTTTGACCTGTTATTTTGGTTTTTCTCTAATGTTTTCACTGCCTGGATATAATAACTTTATTTTGCCCATTTTATTTCCCCTACTATTTGAGGTCTCTTTTCTTCTTGACTGGTTATACTGATAACTATGATCAAAGTTTCTAACTTTAGACATCAAATTTCATCTCAGGGTAATCTTAGAATCTGCCAGTTGACATGTTATTTATTGAAGAATGACTTGGAATGTACAGGCAACCTTTCCTGTTTTTAAAGAACAACCTATATGTCCCAGTTCCCCTGGAAGCCAATCTCTGAATGGTTACACATCTAAAAGAAGCACAAACTGGACTTTCATGTAAGTCTTTACCAAACAGTTCTTGAGGATTTAGGAGCAGGGAATTAATATTGCACGATGCACATACACCCACAAAAGCTTCCTAGTACTCGTATTTAGATAACTCTCCCTCTCCCCACAGTTCCAGTCTTCACAGATGCTCTCATGTCCATTCTCTTTCCTGTCTTATTGTCTCTTTTGTACATTCTCCTTTATACCAC